AAAAGCTAGATCGGATGTGAATGCGACCCCCGCACATATATCTGCCCACTATCAACGTCGACAACTGGATTAACGAAATCAATACTCATTTTGATAACGGAAGCCTTCCATATCAAGTTTTTTATGGTAAAGAAAGATCGACCATTCAGTTTCAAGATATTTCCAGAGTTGCGATTGTTCTAGCAACATACGAATCCGTTTGCATATCGGGAATCAAAGAAAGTAACGACAGTCAACAGATAGGAACTAGTGATCAAGGCAGGAAGAAAAAAAGTGGTCTGAATCTTTCAAATGTCAGATGGTTTCGAATTGTACTTGATGAAGCACAGTGAGTAAAAATTTGTAAACTTCTATGAGAAAAATAATTTCAAATGGTACTGAAATGAAACATTAGTTATATGAAGGATCCCAAGACGAATCGAAGTATAGTACTCTTGAGCTTGAAGGCACAAAGAAGATTGTGCCTGACAGGTACACCCATGCAGAATAACCTTGGCGATCTGCACAACTTGCTGAAGTTTCTTCGACTAGAACCCTGGTCAAACAATTCAATATGGAAGCAATGTGTTGAGCTACCGGTTCAGCTGTGTGATCCTCGCGGTATTTTGACGCTTCAAAATCTTATGAATGGAATCAGCATGAGAAGATTAAAAACAACAGTCCTAGAGCTGCCCGAAAAAGTTGAAAGGGTTATCAATATTGAACTCAAATCACCATGGAATCAAATCTACGAGAAGAACCATGAAACATTTGCGGTACAGTTTGGAAAAAATCGTGTTGGCGGACAAGGATGGAACTCTTCGGATTTTTTTGGCGAACTAGTCGATTTACGGCAACTATGTGATCACCCAGCTTTGATTGAAAAAGGGCCTGGAATAAACAACTACGGTTGGAATGAAAGTTCGAAAATTGTACATCTGGTTGGAGATGTCAAAGATTTCCTTTGTAGTGGAGCTGTAAATCGGGTGGTAATATTTTCAGAGTTTAAGAGGTTTCTGGAAATGTAAGTTCAAATTTTGAGTGATTAAAATTTACAGGAAATATAGGGTGTCCGCTAATATCAGAGTATTCTGTTACCTGTAGAATTGGAATAGCTTTGAATGATCAGGGGTTTAGGTTTACAACACATTATGGGAAGACAGATAACGAGACAAGGAAGAATAATTTGGACCGGTTTCGTGGGGATTCCCAATGTAGGATTCTGTTGGCAACTATCAAGACGGCAGGAGTTGGAATTGACCTCAGATGTGCCCAGAAGGTATATAGCATGGTAAGTCAAGAAGAGATATTGAGCAAACAAG